ATTCCACCATCATTAACATTTTGCCACATTTGCTTCATATTTCTATTTAGGTATATTTATGAACATATTTATTATTGTCAGACCATTTGTCAGTTTCACGCATCAAGTTGGTTTCATATGTTGATATTTCCTCCCTGAAAACTACATCATCCACATACTAAGAATAAGGATATTTTCTTAAAGAGTCATAAAGCCATTGTCACACCTAGGAAAATTAACCAAAATTTCGTAATATCTACAATCCTATTTTCACATTTCCCCCATTGTCCTAAGAATGTCTTTTATAGCTGCTTTTTTTCTTTTTAAACCAGATCCAATTAAGGTTCAAACTTTACTTTTAGTTGTTGTGAAAAAAGACAGCTTTTTTTAGTTATTGGAGATTAGAATTCTTTAATTTCATTTCTGTTGATTTACATAATCTGTCAGAGTTTTCATGAAGAGAACTTATGTAGCATTTCTGTGAAAAAGACCTTTAAAATAAATATCAAGAATATGCTTAATAGTTTGAAAGCATAAACAGACATTTAAGCTTATTTTAAGAAAACATAAAAGCTTTTTATTTTAATTGATACCTGGGGGCACTTTTTAATGGGATGAAGTAGTGAGTATTTGCTTTGCTTTAAATACGTTGCTTATTTATATTCTCATGTGTTTAGAGAAGAAACAAGTTTTCTGTTTGATTTCATGCAAAGGAAAACACGTATAAAATATAATTTACATAATATTTAAAATTCGATCTTTTGATAGAATGATCGAAGTGTATTACACACTACATGTAAGACGGGCATAATACACATTAAGCTCCTAATGCAGTAGTGCACACTATTAAAATATTTAAAAACAAACTGGTCTACTTGAATACATGCCATGTTTTCATAGCCTTTATGTTTCATAAGTATGTTTCAGGCAGTGGATTCTTTAGCACATTCAGGATTTTTTTTCATCATGTAACTTGCAAAGAAAAGAGGACGAGGCAATATTTTTATTGCTAAGAGATGTTGAGAAAATAACAGTACATGATGAGACAAAAAACACACCTCATATTTGTATGTGAATATATATGCCAAGTTAAACTACCCAACAAACCACCCAAAGCATATAAACCCCAAGGCCATTTGACAAATAAATTATTTAACTTATCATGTGTGAAAGTCAAAATTGCACTTATTATATGTTTGTAAAAAATACATAATTCCTTCAGATTTTCTGAGAAATATCATAGCTTAGAAATAATAAGAGAAATAATAATAAGGCGGGCCAGTTAATATACTGGCACCAAAAGTCTAGTTATTTTAGGTCAGGGGAGGCCCCAGTTAATGATGCAATAGTTTTAAGCAGGACCTTGTCAATAATTTCCCCAAGTCATTACTTTTGCGGAAATTTTTGGGACGCTGAGAATTTGTCCTGATCTGCCCACATTTGATATACCTTGTATCTGTGTCAAATGTATCTTTAAATATGGGGCTGAAAGAACACAAATACCTGTGCTCAATGTGTTTAACTGTCTTTCCAAATAAGATTCCCTCTCAGCAAATAGTTTCACTTAACATCATTTTGGGAGGTGTTTAAAAACAAAACAGTAGGAGCTGTGCGTCGTGTTTACTTTTGCTCTGCCTGTGTTAGCATTCATCTTGTGAATATTTATTGCCCATCTACAGCCTGGGAGATGCTGAGCTAGGTACTGCTCATTCTGAGCCGCCCAGAACGGTCAGTGCTGGTCAGCCAGCCTGTCTTGAGGCTGATTATCTGGGCCAATGCTCCACTAGCTCTCACGTACCGTTTTTCTGCTGGTCAGTCCTTGTTAGTGCCTTTACTAAGGGGTGCTCTGAGGACACGGAAGGAAATTGAATTTAAACCTGAGAGTTTTTCCACCAATATATTTCCCTTATCTCTGTTTAGACCTCTCAAGCCCAGTTCTATAACCCTCCAAGGGCTTGAGTTATCTCAAGGGGACTTATGAAATTCTTGCTATTAAGTTAGCTTTAATTACTTAAGAACTTTTCACGGAAGGCACTGTTGTGTAATTGGAGTTTCGAAGCAAGACAGAACTGTATTTGAATCCTGGCTCCATCATGTTCTGCTGAGCAAGTCCCTTGATCTCTAAGCTTCAGTTTCTTATCTGGACAATGGGAATGGTAACGCTCACCCTTACAGGGCTGTATGGGACTAAGGAGACAGTGCACGTCAAGGTTCCGGCAGTTTCTGGCATATAGCAGACCTCCAGTAAACAATAGTGCTTTTATTTCCTCAGTGGGACTTTTTTGAGGGATGAAGGAGGAAAAAGAGGGTAGAGGGAGAAGAGGAAGTACTTCAAAGAAATAATAGTTATTCCTACTAAAATGTTTCTACCAATGTTTTTCACACTGTGGGTTGCCACCCATTAGAGGGTTGTATCCAGAACTGAAAGAAAGAGAGAGAGAGAGAGAGAGAGAGGGAGAGAGAGGGACTATCAGAGAGCATCTGAGTAGTGAAATGAGTATTGTTTGGGCAAACATTTTTTCTCCAGTTGTGTGTGTACGGCGTGTACTGGATCATGACGTAAAAAATATTTTTACTGGAAGCGGTGGTCAAAAAAGTTTGAGACACGCTAGTTTAGTTTCATATTCTTTTTTTTTTTTTAAGATTTTATTTGAGAGAGAGAATGAGAGAGAGAGATAGAGAGCACATGAGAGGGGGGAGGGTCAGAGGGAGAAGCAGACTTCCTGCCGAGCAGGGAGCCCGATGCGGGACTCGATCCCGGGACTCCAGGATCATGACCTGAGCCGAAGGCAGTCGCTTAACCAACTGAGCCACCCAGGCGCCCTAGTTTCATATTCTTAATGTCCCACGTGTCAGAGAGAACTGAAAGTCACCGGTGAGGACCATGCTGTGTGCACTGAGTTCATGAATTCAGATAACCATTGCTTTCCCACCCTCGGGGCCAACCACCTCCTATCCCATACGGAACAGCCTTCAGGAATCTGTTCAGCCGTCAGAACTGTCACCATCCCATGAAGGCACCGTGTGCTTATTTCTCTGCCTGTACCCTCTTTTAGCTTGGGGTGGCTCTGAGGACATCTGTCTTGCTCAGTCTGCATCCCCAGAGCCTGGCACTTAGCACTCAATAAAGATTAGCTGCATCAGTGAGTGTGAAGGTCATGCTGCATCAGTGTCGTTCTGCCTTCCCCCCTCAGATCCGGACGCCGCCCAGCCTACTTTCTCTTGGGCAGGCAGACAGAGGTTGGGCAACGTGAGAAGCTGGCTTGAGGGTAGGCTTTGAGGAACCTGAATGGTGGCGTGGTGGTCAGGTTTCACAGAGTCTGAATACCAAGGGCTGCAGTCTCCCCACTGAGGCTCACCATTGCCAAGACATAATGAACATGGTAGGATTTCCCTTCACTGCTTACAGGCTTGGTTTCCAAACCTGGTATTGTTCTAGAAGATTCCTTACTGATGTTCATTTATTTTCTTCTGGGTTTAATTATAATCTGTGAAATAAGATAATAATTTCTACCTAACAAGAACTCTATAGAAATTAAATGGGGGAAATATTTGTCAGCTTTAACACATCAGATGACACCTATTAGGTACGAAAATGTTAGTCCCCTCCCTGAATTATAATAAATAGAAAATTGTCTCATATTTCCCCCTTAAAGAGAGGGAGAAGTGTCACATTGTTAAAAGTAACAGTTTCTATGGAAGGATATTGTGGTTTGTGGGAGTTCTAGTTAGCATCAATTATAATATGCCTGACTTTTTAGTGACATACTACATAGAAAAAAATTCAACCTCTTGCTCCTTGACATAGACTTGATGTGGGAGGATGATAGGGGTTTTTGTTTTTTGTTGTATTTTTGTTAAAATTGGATGATTGAAAGTGAGGGATGGAGACATTTTATTTGAACCAACAAAAAGGTTCCAGTGTTTATTCAAACTAATCGGATTCTCAGTTACCTTACTGAACCACTGATGGTATCTCATGAATTTTAGTATCTTTTGAAATCATTCTAGAAGACCATATCTCACATTAGGTACTGAGTTGTGTCACATTTAAAAGTATTTGAGAAAGGGGCGCCTGGGTGGTGCAGTCGGTTAAGCGTCCACCTCTTGGTTTTGGCTCAGGTCATGATCTCAGGGTTGTGAGATTGAGCCCCGGGTTGGGCTCCGAGAGAGTCGCTTAAGATTCTCTCTCCCTCTCCCTCTGCACCGCCCCTCACCCACTCTCTCTCTCTGAAATAAATAAATCTTTAAAAAAGAGTATTTGTGAAAGGCGCCTTCAATGTGTAGTCTCTTTCCGATGATGTATTTATTATGGAATGATGTCAGATAAGAAAAGATTTGGAGATTTGGAAGCACAGCAAATATCTCCTATATCACGGTGAAATGCAAGGTTAATGCAAGATATAGTTGTGTGTGCTTAAACGGATATTGATTATGTGTCAGGGGCCTGTGTAAGGGTGCATTTCGGTATGTCTTCTTTAAGCGTTTGCAGAGGAGTGCTTTACAAAGGAAGAGTGGTTCCTGGGGATGTGAGGAGTGAGAGAGAAGCAGATGTACCCCCAGAAGACACCCTCCTTCTCCAGAGCCCGACACCCCTTCACGCTCCCCCTCGCGAGGAACGGAAAGCTGAATTTCTTTTCCTTTCTGTTTCTGTTCTCCTGTAGTTAGTGTTACTAGGAAGCCCTAGGCTTTTAGCAGTGTGAGAAGTGGGATCTAGAGTAATATTTATGAGCTGAGTGCCCAGAACATTTCACAGGCTTAATAAAAGCATTAATATTGATTCTGAAGTTCTGCTAGTGAATAAAACAATCTGCAGCTTTTCTTGTCGAACCCAGATACGGGGGCATGGGCAGAACCAGAAAACAGGAAGTTGTGAGAAGGACCAGGTTTGAATGGCAAGGACTGTTTATTCCAGCACTGGAAACCCATTATTAATTTTATCGATAGTCATCTGTGCATTTTTCTTTGTGGCGTCCTTGAGGGAGTTACTTTGTGTTCAACTTCTGTTTACTTTTCCACACTCTGTTGACTCATTCCCGTTGAATCCTAGGAGGAGCTAGAAGAAAACTGGCTCGATGTGTGTATTTTTGAATAGCATCAGATCGATAGGTAGACTGGTGGTCTGCTATACTTCTGCTTCAGCTCAGCAGTCTAAAAAGCCATTTAGACAAAAATCTTTGATTTGATTCCCCTGATGCTCATTATCCATCAAAGGCAGGTGCAAGTCAACCGCAGAGAGCTTGGGGAGAGCCGAGGGCCAGAGATCTGGGATGTGGACTTAGATGGTTGCCCACCAGTATTGAATTTGGGCTTTCAATGTGACTTCATTACCCATTAATTGATCAAGAACGTGAACTTGACCAACTCAGGCAATGTCCAACTACACTCAAGAACAGTGTAGTAAGCTCACACATCAGTATACAAAGACATGTCGGATGCACAGACTTATTTTTGATAGTATGTTCGGATGTCTGTGTCATCCTCTCCTGGCTACTCCTGCAACCATCCACCTATTCGCTGGAGCCTTAAGCATCTCTGTCATCTTCCACACCTCCCTCCCCCTCATCCCATCCCTGTATTCATTCCCTCTGTTCTTGCCCGTGCTTGGGCTCTCTTGTCATATTTGGCCAGTGATCTGACCACTGTCACCTAACTGGTCTCCCTGTTCCAGTCTTTCTCTTTTTGAAGGCTTTTCCTGCCACCATACTTAACTTTTGAAACCATGGCTCTGGTGACTTTACTTCCTTACACAGACACCTCTGATGGTTCCCCACTGCCTACCGAAGACAAGATTGGGGGCTTTTCACCACCTACCTTCCCCTGCCCTCCTCCTCTCCAGTCACACTGGGCTGCTTGCCTGATGCCTTCATCAAGTGTCTTCAGCGAAGTCTCAGTGTCCTCATCTGTAAAATGGGTATAGTAATAGACTAGGATTAAGATGTCATTGGAATATCAAAATAATAAGTTGAGCACAGTTTCAGGCACGCAGTAAGGAGTTAATAAAAGATATGATTTTCATTGTTATGAAACTTGACACATGATCTGACCCTTTACTCACGCTGTTTTTATGCCTTCCTGCCCTCCCCTCTTTTAAAGTTACTGTCATCTTTAAGGTACACAGCCTTGACAGCCTTTGTGAAGCCATTGTGAACCTCTCAATCACTGGACTCTCTTTGTGTGTTCATTGTAATAAAAAAAAAGATTTTATTTATTTATTTGTTATTTGGGGGGAGGGGCTGAGGGGGAAGGAGAGGGAGAGTGAGAGAATCTCAAGCCAACTTTTTGCTGAGTGCGGAGCCCCACACGGGGCTTGATCTCACAACCCTGAGATCATGACCTGAACCAAAATCAAGAGTCAGACCCTCAGCCGAATGAGGTATCCATGTGCCCCTCATTGTAGTTTTTATACCTCAATTATATCACTTATCAAAAGGCCTGCCTTGTACTAAAGTTGTATCTGTCTCCCCATTGGAGGCCGTTTCCTGCTGAGAGTGGACCACGGAAGTTCACAGCTTGGGTTGGAGGTGGATTGGGGGTTGGGGAGGTCACGTCAGCTGCAAGAGCTTGACTTCTTAAAGGTATTATTTCTGGCATGTGTTTAAGGAATTGAGAACGGGTGTTGTAATGCTGCAGTGTAGTTCTGCCAGTAACCACCCAGAATTAGTGTCAGCTCCACGAGTTAAGGGTGTGGTCCCCAACAAGACAGATAGCAGCTGCAAGCTTAGAAGTCCCCAGGCCACCCATGCTTCTGGCCAACTGGCTACAAATTTGGGGGCTCCTACAGTTAGCTAGAATGACTCAAAGAACTCAGAAAAGTGCTGTACTTAAGATTATTGTTTTATCATAAAGGATACAAATCTGGACCGGCCAAATGAGCATACACATTGGGCGAGGTGAGGGAGGGTCCTAGACATGGAGTTTTCTTGCCCTTGCCCTGTGCAATCAGGATGTGTCTCCTGGTGGACACATTGATGTGTTCACCATTTAAGAATCTCCACTGAGCTTTGGTGTCCAGCGTTTTTACTGAGGTTTCATTACACAGACCTGATGATTTATTGGCCATGTGTGATTATTCAATCTCTATCCCCCCTCCCCTCCCTGGAGGAGGCCCATTGATATTGCCCGACTCAAAGCCCCAACCCTCTAATCACATGATTTCTGAAGTGGCCAGTCCCATCCTAAGCCAACTTCTTAGCCTAACTCACTAATGGATCAGGGGACTAATGAATAACAAAGATATTTCCAATCACTTGGGAAATTCCAACTATTTAGAGTATGTCCCAGGAAGCGGGGGGGGTGGGGGGGGCGGGGGACAAATGCTGGTCAAAATCTTTATTATACAACAACAGGTGTGCTTCTCAGTATCCTGATCAGATATGCTGTTTGAACGGTTGACACAGTGTTGCTCTCTTACATCATGAACCTTCCTGTCCCATTATGACAAGAATGATGATCTAAAACCCACATATCTATTTAGTCAATCAATAGAAGTTGGGTAAGATTTGTAAACTGTTTGCTGACTGCATAAAGGAGGCCGGTAGGAAGGACTCCTGATATGGCTCTCTAGATTTGGTTTTCATCAATAAGCAAGGCTTCCCAATAACAAGATTACATTTTGGAGAGCAGGATCGTCCCAGTTGCCTTAGTATACTTCAGCACCGACTGTGTGCTCAGTAAATGTCCTTCGGTAGAGCACGTTGCCCAGCTAGCTTTGTTGGGAAGGCGGTGAGGCCCTCTGGCTGGCTGAGCAATACAGCGCAACCACAGGCATCCCTCGCCAACAGACCTGACTCAACAAGAGGGGATAGACTTCTTGCCACGAGGATCCCCATGGTGATCCCAGCTGGAGCTAGCCATGCTTGGACTGATAATATACATGAACAGCAGATACCACTAGAGAGTTTAGGTGAAATATTGAAATTTATTGCTAGATTATTGGTCACTGACACGCAACTGAACAAAAGATGACAGGAATAATGTCTACAGAGGTACTTTGTAAGAATCATGTTGTGACAACTATGTTTTTCAAAGTCTTGGAAGTGGACCCTGTGTTTAGACCATGTGCCTATTCATTTGCATATCCATATTTTTTTTTTTTTTCCTGGAAATAAGTATGACTTACTTGCTGAGACAAAATGTAATCAGGGATGAATGCTTTAATCCCTGATAAATGACGTTTTTTTTTTTTTTTTTTTTTTTTTTATAAATGACGTTTTTACCTTCCCTTATGGAAGAATTTAGTTTTCTTTGGTGACTTTCGTCAGTGCTCTGTCCTTTCTCTAAGATTTCCAGAACTTCAAATGCAACTCATCAAGATCTGGGCTTCTTCCCCCGTCCTTCTACCCCATGCCAGCTCTCTTTCTCTCTCTTTCTCTCTGTTTAAAGTCTTTTCTGTTGCCACTGATGTAGTTCTCTGATTTTCTTAACATTAAGTGAAATTCTATTTAAAAATTTCTAAATGCTTAACGCACATAATAATTAAGGGTTATTCCTGTCAGGAATAGAAACACCATATTAGTACAGTTCTTCCTCAGAGGCTGCTAAAGAAGGAAAATCCTGTTTAGAGGGTTTGCCTCTGTGTTTTTTTTTTTTTAAATGGCAGTTATGTAATGCCAGGTTTAATTGGCCAGGAGTCAGGAAGCTGGTTTATTTGTGCATCTCTTGTGTCCTATGTACCTGAGGGGTGAGTGGTCAGTGAAAGCATCTGTAATTTGTTTATGGGAGCTGTTGCCCAAGAAGTGTCCTGTGTAATGGCAGTTTGACAGATGTTGAAAGAAAAGCATATTGGTTTTTCTTTATACAGTGATGGGTGTATAACAGACACTGAATAAACACATGTGGGTTGGCTTTAAAAGCACATTTATTGTGAATGGGAGCAGACCTTCATTTGACAGAAAGCCTCCTAATGGGCATCCTTCTCTGGTAGGTCAGGAGAGATTGCTACTTGGGATTTAAAAATTAATTCCCTAGCAGGAGAAAAACAGGTGGAAACACAAAAGAAGTACATGAATGGGGGAAGGATCAAGTCATCCTTGGAAGGGACCGACAGAGGAGTGCCCATGACCTCACCCATCCGTGCCAACGCAGAGACACGAAGGGAGGTTCATGAGATCCAGCGATGTCAGCAGTGTGTGTGTGGGGAGAGGCTGATAATGAAATTCTGGCAGCGGGGAGGCTTGCTCTGCTAAAAAAGAAACATGTCTAATAGGTGGATCCATGTATAGAAAGAAAGAATCTTGAAGATGGAAAAATGATGGAGAACATGGGGGTGAGATGAAATGAAGGAGAAAAGGAAGTGGCACCTCTGCGGGCAGATGGGAGGATACAACCGAAGCTTTCTGCACATGTTTACACTTTGGCACAGAGGCAGATACAGTGGGGAAGGGAGGCTTTCATGAGACAGCTGCTGAAAGTTGAAAAGAGAGTATCGGTTGATTTTTTTTTTTTTCTTTGCTTTTGTTTACAGTTTCACTGTTTTCAAGCTGCTTTGGACTTGATGTGGAAAATAAGGAAGGACTGGTTGGTGATGTAGCAGTTGTGAGGACTTTGGAATGGGTGGTCTCTGTTGCCTTGGAGTGAAGGGAGGAGTTGCTGGTCACACCACATGGCCGACTTTAGGAAAGCCTGGTGACCCTGTGTGAGGAGCAAGAGGGGCCGAGTGTGTGCAGGGAGCCCTAGCTCGTGAGAAACTCTGTGAGGCAGGAGCCAATGTACCTGCTGACCACAACGGTCCTTGGCTCGCTGTTGGCCTTTATATGATTTACGGAGGAAAGGAAAGAAGGAAGGAAAAGAAAGGTGGCTCAGTGCGGCAGAAGACTTTGAGAAATAAAGTTCTGATTGAAAATGTGTTATTTCTGTGAGTGAGGAAAGGGGAATGTTTCTTAAAACAGGAACCCAACCCCAAAACCAAAAGCCATGTAGGGCATCTCCTGGGGGCTTTCTGAGCTCTGATTACTACAACACACCTTTTAAAAGATGGAAAACTGAGCATTCCAGAATGCATACAAAATAAGAAGGGGGTCAAGAAAGCTAATGGCTGGGGTTCCTGGGTGGCTCAGTCAGTTAAGCGTCTGACTCTTGGTTTCTGTTCAGGTTGTGATCTCAGGGTTATGAGATCGAGCCCCTCATTGGGCTCCATGCTGGGAGTGAAGCCTGCTTAAGTTAAGATCCTCTCCCTCTCCCTCTGCCTCTCCCGTTCATGCACACTCTCTCTCTAAGATAAATAAATCTTAAAAAAAATGCTAATGGCCAATGTGCTCAATGGCTTGTGAAAAACTCTAAAGACAAGTTTTTTTTTTTTTTTAAGATTTAATTTATTTATTAGGAAAAAAAAGAGAGAGAATGAGCAGGGGGAGGGGCAGAGGGAGAAGCAGACTCCCCATTGAGGGGGGAGCCTGATGTGGGGCTCAATCCTGGCACTTCGGGATCATGACCTGGACTGAAGCAGATGCTTAACTGACTGAACCACCAGGCACCCCTAAAGACAAGTTTTAAACACACTTAGATTCCAAGAAAAAAGATGAACTATGGCTTGGGAAAGACGGAGTGATAATAAAAGATGACAAGGAAGTAAAGTTATTCGGTTCCTAGTTAGCTTTTATCCTTTCAACTGAGAAGAAGCTATTTAAAGCTAGGAAAGTTTCACAAACATCAATAAGAAATTAAATATTAGGAGAGCCAATAGTATGAAGACACCAGGCCATTCAATGCGAAGCTAAGAAATGTTCAAATCTCTAGATCCAGATGAATGGCACCTCAGGGACCTGAGGATCCCCTGGAACAGAAGCTGGTGAACCGTGGCCCTGAACCACAAGAGAGGATGTGGTGGGGGATTAAGGGAACAGGCTCTGGGGCTCCTCGAGGTTACTTACTTCACCTCATTGTGCCTCAGTTCCCCTGTCTG